AAAGGGTGCGGTTTGCAAAGTACAAACTCAGTTGTCCTTTCTGGTTTTAATAAATTAGAAGACAAAGTGGAAGAATTGCCAGAGAATGTTTAGAAAGACAATAAAACACTACTGCTTCATAAGTTGAAAAATATACGCGATTTCTAGTTTAACTTTCTGTTGTGACTTGTTTTAACTTACCACGACATGTAAAATACATCAGTTTACTGTTGGCAAGATATAGTGTAGTGTAATCCATACAGCCTGAGTGACTGGATCCACCTGGTTAGTGTGGGTAGCGGTTGTTTGTTATGCAGATCGTGATTAACTCTGCTTTCATTTAACCTCACAAATAGCATTAGGAAGAGAAGTGCCATCTGGTGTGCAGTGTACGGTGAGCGATGAGTGGCCTACCCTGTGTGAGCAGAACAACGGTCCATGTAGAGGTAGTCCAAATTTTGTAGGTAGATTATGCTGTTGAAGGAAGAGAGCCACCGCCTCTTCCTCATTCCCGTCACCATTCTTATTCGCGTCAGTTTTATTCCTCTAGCATTTCATCGAGTGACACATGTCACCTTTGCCAGCCACCAACCTGAAACAGTCACATCAAGCTGGTGTAGAAATGGAGGTGTCTGGGGATAGAGTAAGTGCCTGAGCTAGGTCTTTCACTTTTAGAATTAAAACTTTCTCCAAACGTGGAATTTACGTCTCATTCGTCTTCTCATACCCTCTGCGACTATTTTAGGCAAAGCTAACCGCTTCCTTTTGAAAACCACCATCAAACACTCAAATAGGCACCAGCAACTATTTCCACTTCCCTCCAATTTTATGCCTCTTTACGCTCATGGCAAGCCTATGTGCAAAAGAAAACAAGACTTGGGAAAATGCAAATTGTATTTACTAAATGGACCACTTTTGTGTTACCAGAAGGAAAGACTGACAGACATATCATGCACTTTTTAGAAGACTACTAAACTTTACGATCATCTAGATTTCATGTGAAAATGTTTATTTTGCTAAGTTTGTTTCATAGGAATCCCTTTCCTGTCATTCAGTGAAAAAAAATAGCAAAATTAGTTTGCTGTAATCGCTAATGGTAAATGGAAACTAGTGTCCCGCCAGGATCAGAACAAATCTTTTTGCATATTTTTGCGGTTTCGCTACCTCAGAGGGTTATAAGTCGTGGGAGTGTGTGTGTGTGTTAATGGTCAGTTATACGGAGGTGAGAGAGAGGTACGCCTACTAATTAAATCAGACAGTAAAAGGCAACAACACATTATGGGATCACGATGAAGCCTTGATATTCATTAACCGGTGAAGTTTGATGCCCACAGTACTATGTATTTCGTCGCAGACTAGCTCTCCCTCTCCCTCTCCTTCCCCCTCTGTCTATGCATCCACCCGTCCTTTTAGCAATGCGCACTGATTCGCAGTGAGGGTCAACTGAACATCAGGAATGAAGGGATATGTGTGGTGAGGAACGAAATCGGCATTTCAAGCGGAATAAAAAGCGACAGTTGAGAAGTTCACAAGGGTTGCATACTTAATGCCGCAGTTGCGCATATCCGTTTACACAGTAAGTATTGAACCATAGGACGGCCAAATAAGCCCTTGCAGCACTTTTTAAGAAAAAGAGGAGGTTTACATTGGACTTTTGAAAGGAGGCATAATTTGGCTACGGACTCCAATTGTAGAGACTGTTTCGTCTGCAGAGGCAAGGAGCCTAGCTGTGGCTTTAGGTCTAGACACCTCCATTTCCACCTCCTCTTGATTTGTCAAGTGCTTGTCAGCTTCGCATGCATCAATGTGACTGTTGCATGTTAGTGCCGGATAAAGGTGGGAAGCTCCTGCAAAAGAAATAATATAGGTGCAAGACTGATGAGAGCAGGAATGACGACGAGGAGGAGAGTGAGACAGTATCTCCCACCTCTCCCTCCATCCGGCACGTGCAGAAGTGAAATGTAGTGACTTGCCTCTATTGGAATGACTGCCAATTTTCAATTGACTGATCACTTGATGGGTCGAATGATGGATTGGTCAGTTCTGCCTGTTTCGAAGCTTAAAATTTCACTGGGGTGTATCGAGTAGGCAGGTCTCGGAGGGTGGGGGGGGGGTGGGTGTTGTTTGACCTGTGAGAAGGTAACAATGCCAGGTGAATCAATGCGCCTGCCGTGACAATGAAATGCACAGCATGAAGGAGGAGGTGAGGGGTGCATGCCTTAAAGGAGTGGCTGGAGTTGTGTGTTGACCACGTGTTTTATGCACCAATGCTACTTGAGGTGGAAGTAGGTTCATTTAGCGAAGGTAGAAACGCAAAAGCATAAAAGCCATTGCGCATTATAAATCACTCAACCACCCAGTCAGCTGGTCAGTCGATTGGCAGAAAATTCAAGACGCCGTGCTGTTTCAGCAGGGATGAGAGGTCTTGTACTTTCCTGCCATCTACTTCTTACGTATGCGGGTGACATCCATTTCCTTTGAAGTCTCATTGTCTCTCTCATTTGGTGTTGTTGCATACAAAACGTCCCACTGTTCAAGTTCGTTACCATCAGAACGTGGTTTTGGTATAGTAATCGCTGCTTATTTTAACCTTCATTGGCACATAATTCCTCGGTAGTGTCTAGAGTAGTGGATCAATCGTGCAACTTGTTTAATGTAAGTCACTACTGGGTGGTGCACTGCTCTGTTCCCACACACCGCATACCGCAACTCATTCAGCAAAAATCATCATTTGACGATACGAAAGTTTACAATAGGTGCATTGGGTACTGTGCTGTTTGATCGACACGTCAACACTCTACAAGGCACACCTGTCGTTGAGAATTGGCACGAGTGATTGCAAACAACCACTCAAAAGAAATGGATGAATCTTTGCCCTCACTTTGATGGAATATACGTAACTACTGGCGGAGACGTCTTCGAGTAAGAGAGAAAGTGTTGCTTCTTATCAGAAGAACATGAACGCCCATTGGATTAGACACGAGAGCACTCCGATTATTAACACTTTACAATGCCACTCAAATCCAAATGTCCATACAGTGTTAGTTGGCTGAGGTGACCACCAGCGCGAAATGGCCGATGCATTTACCAAACTAACAACTTGCCAACGGAGTGTATTGCTCACAGTGTTGCATATAGCTTCGCAATGTGATTCCGCGAACATTCCAAAACATTCGTCGCTTTAGTCACTTCTTCTCAATTAACAATATGACATGGAGACATACTACCTGTGCATTGATGATCTCCGTAAGATCAGGTTCATTCACAGTGATATGAATTCGTGACAATGGGACTAACCCAGGGCTGCGCGATTAGGTCAACGAACACTGGTTGCAAAATACGTTGTCAAGGTTAAAGAACCCACCTTCTCGCATACTTATTTTGCGACCTCAGTAGAGTTTGTGCTTACAAAAGCAGGTCCCTGTACCTGACTTAAGTCCTCAAAAGTAGCCATGTGCGATTTTTCCTCTGCAGGAGGGTCTTTATTTGCATCGGCCAGTATGTTTTAAAAGTGGTAGGTATTGACGAGGCAGCAGTGGCCCTCTTGACGGGGTAGTCTTATCTCTTTACAGATTCAAATTCTGTATAAGTCAGGACAGTATCTCGCGTGCTTGGAGATATACACCCTAATGCGTATTATGGGATGGCAAAGAAGCGTCTCGCCGATGTTAGGGACCAGCTCACATATCATTTGTGTTGAAAACATGGCGTCTTCTCATCTAACTATAGAAAGTCGCAATGTTCATCTCCATCGTGGTTACACCACGATGGGCGCAAAAGAGGCACTCATAGAAGAGAAGTAAACGCAAAATAAATGTGTAATAGAGGAAGGCTTCAACTTCCACTGCCAGTAAATTGGTTTGGGTGTCAAAAGTGTCACATATCGAATGAAAAGAGGAATTAAGAAGAGAAAAAATGAGGGGAAAACTTCTTTCAGGTCTGTTCTCCTCGTTGACAGGGACAGGACATATAAAGTCGATGAAAAGTGGGGAATACTTGAGGTGGCAGAAATTTCGAATAAAGAAAA